GGGGGGGGGAGGGTGGTGAATTGTAACTAAATTAAAAACTTAGTCGACTCAGAAGAGAATTAGTTGACTTCACTTTATCAGCAGGTTTGATTGACGATGAAAATAAATTGCAAGAAATTTAAAAGTTAAGAACACAGGAGTTTTATACTGGTTCAGTACCAATGTGGTACCTACATCCAGTTCCCTTGGGTCACAAGGATTCTCTTAGATCTTCAATAGTTTATTACAGCAGTAATGGTTTTTGGATCGTTTACCACCAACGATTTTTCAGCAACGATGTTTTACAAACTTGACACAACTCTTGTTTTGTTTTCTAACACTTCCTATCTTTTGAGACTAGTATATATATAGATAGATAGATTACACAAATATCTCAAATTCAATACACTTCTTTTTAAATCTTATAAATACTACCCCTCCGTTTTAATTTATATGACACACTTTCCTTATTAGTCCATTCTAAAAAAATTAATATATTTCTCCATTTGAAAATTAAACTTTAAATTATATTTTACCCATTTTACCATTAATGAGAAGTTTTTATAGTCATATTATGACCCCATAATTTTTTTTATTATTCAAGCTTTTAAGACTGCAAGTTTAAAAGTCTTTTTTTTTTAAATTTTGTTCCGAGTCAAACTACATAATATAAATTGATGGAATGGAAGTAGTATGTTGCAATTAAATAACTTCTAAATCTAAATAATAATCATATTAAACAAAATAGATAGAGTATGCTTCAGTTATTCATTTATGGATATGCATTCTGAACACATGTATGTAAGTATTTAATACAGTTAGGTGTACTTTTATTTTGAAAATCTTTTAAAGAATTATGAAATAGCCAACATATAGTGCACCTATTTTGTTGACGCGAATATATTCAAAACAAATGAAGGATCTTTGCAACATAACCAATGTCTCTGTGATATAGATGAGATCTAATGCTCACAAATGTACACCTCCTAAGCACTTCACATTTTGTTTAGAAAGACAATGTGGCAATTAAAGATTTTAGTTTCAATTTTGATTTGGGTAATTATAGTATTATTATCACCGTTGGTGGATGCAATGCGATTCGACTTGATCTCTGGAACGTCAAAATGTATAACAGAGGACATTAAGCACGATCCCATGACTGTCGGCAAATACTCTGTTGTCAATCCTAACCACAAAGTCACTGTTCGGGTAAGTCCCTTCCTAATCTTTTTCTTCCAATTTCTACTGGAAATTTGAATTCATGAAAAATTGCTTTTAAATAGACTAGCATAATTTGATATAAATTTAAGTTATATATAATAACAGTATAAAGATCTTTTTATATATTGTTTAACTTGTGTGTTTGAGCTAATTGTCTGTGTGTCCTTAATATATGTCACATAGAGTATGTATGACGAAATGTAATTATTCAAATGAGTGCATGCATTTTCTTTTGTTTATCTTTGGTTTATTTTGAAAATTTTACGTTAAGTACTTAGACTAATGTCACACTCGTTCGACAAGCACATGAAAGATAATTGAACACAAATGTCCACATTTACTATTTAATTTGCACAACAAATATCGTCTTTTCTTGTCAGCCTATTACAGTAAAGACAATGTCGGAACCAGGGGCAGAGCCACACACCTTTGCCTAAAAATTACAGTAACTAAGTAAAAAAAATTATTTTATGTACAAAGATGTATCCAAGATTTTAAGACTATGAATGCATCACAATATATTATAATTTGTTTTAAGATGATCCAAGTTGACGAACAAATTCTAATTAATATTATTAGCGTTATGTATGTCCTCGACGAGTTTTTATATTTTAAAAATTATCAATAATAGCATCATTACTCACCGTTTTAAATATCTTGCGTTATATATAGCAAGCTAAAAATTATTAAAAAATCTTCATCTATCCTATTACGTAGATTTTTTTATTCACTTCTATTTCCTTGTAAATATGTGATTTGCAATATTAGTTTTTGATTATCGTTGTTTAAGAATAACTTTATTATCTTTTACCGGTACTTCATTTCTTGACAAAAATGTAAACTTATTTGAGAGATTAATCTTTCAATTTTGAAGTTCTCCTTTTCAACGAACACTTACAGCCTACTATTACCAGTGATAATCTTCAAGAGAAAAAAATGGGATCGCAATATCGCATTTCATGAAACACTTTAGTGAAAGCTTTCTTTCTAAAGAATAACTTAAATCGGGTAACCAAGAAAGAAAAGGAAACAATAAAGAAACAGAAGCATTTTTAATTAAAAAGCTTAAGGGAGCAAGCAGGGATCGAACCCATGATATTAGGGGCGAAGGTGCACTCATTGAACGCTGAGCCAAAGTGCTCACTTAACCCATGCTTATTTAAGAACGAAATCAGAAAAATACAAGTGTTATACATAGTCTAGAGAGGAGAGAATGGGTTCACGTGAACCTACTCCTCCCATATAGATCCGCCCCTGTTGAATATATTAAATCTCTTTAGCTTCTTTCGGTATTTACTTGTTTATATATTTTGAGTGAAAATACTGGCTCAGCCACTGGTCGAGACTCTTTCAATCAGCCTGTGCATTTGTAGGTATGGAAGCTTTACGATGTGAACTCATGTAGGTCACTTCTCCATATGGGAACAATTATCGTTTGATGGATTATGTAGAATCTGGTACATTTGCCTTTACAGCATCTGAAGGAGGTGACTATATGCAGGCGCGGATGTAGCACTCCGGTGACAGGTTCAATTGAGCCCATAACTTTTGACGCGTAGTATAAATTAATGTGTAAAAATTCACTAAAATTATAATAAATAGTAGATTGAACCCATAGTTTCAAAAATATAATGGGTTCAATTCTAAGAACCTCAAACGTTGAATCATAGAATTTAAATCTTAGATCCGCCTCTGACTATATGGCTTGTTTCTGGCAGCAGATCATAAGCCACCACTAAACTTGTCAATAGACTCTGATTGGAAATCTGGAGTTGCTGCTAAAGATTGGTCTAAAATTGCCAAGAACGGCCAGATAGAAGTAAGCAGCTTAGCTCTTTGAATTCATGGATGACTAGTTACTTCCACTTTTTTGTGTAAATCTCTTTATGTTGCTACTTTTAGCATTAATTAATGGATTTGTTTCTTGAAAAAGAAATGGCTAACCCGTGAATTAAGTTGGCCTTTCGACAAAGTTGGTCGAAGTTGAGAAAAGTAGTACTCCCTATTTGTAGTAGCAGTTGAAAAAGAACATTTGAAAGTTGAAATATGTTTAATTTGGACACTTGAAAAAAGTTGAAAATTCCTTATTGAACACCAATATTTCACTTAGAGCCTAACACTCTTTAAACAACTTCTTCAATATATTACCAGTATTGCAAATACTGATAGTATTTGCAGATACTGATGGCCAAACCAATATTTAACAAATATCGATGGTCAAATCAGTATTTGCAAATACTTGCTCGTTTCCGGCTAATACCTGGGTAGAGGGAAAAAGTGAGCCAATATCTATCCAGTCTTCCTTGTATTTATGCAGTAGATTATTTTCACGGCTAATTGTTCGTTGATTTTCAATCTCGCCATTTCTTTAAAAGGGAGTTCAGTTTTTCATCGATAGGTTCTTTTCGCAGTCTGGATAAGTGTAATTTGATACTGATAGAAAAGTACAATTATTTGTCACTAAACAACCCTTGCATGTGATGGAAATTGAGCTGCAGAAACTGTTAGATATAATCACTTCCATTCATGATGAGATGTTTTATCTTCGCGAACGGTACGATCATAAACATGTCATTGCTATTGCTTCTATATATTGACAGCATAAAATTAAATTTTCATTAAATCTTGTAAAATAAAGTATAACAAATGAAATTAGTTACTTGAACATACAGCTGCCAGCATAGTAGACAATGTTTATAAAAATTCTTTACACTGTTGGTGTATATTGTTAAATTCTAACTTTTATTGTGCGAGTTGTACAGGGAGGAAGAAATGCAAGAATTAAACAGAGCAACTCATTCCAAGATGGCCACCTTCACTGTACTATCTTTACTTATTTGCTTGTCCGTGGCTGGTCTCCAAGTTTGGCATTTGAAGTCATTTTTTGAAAAGAAGAAGCTTATCTAACTGTAATCTTTACATTTTTCATATTTTGTCTATTCACCTTTAGGCACCTTTGTCCTTAATTTCCATCTGTTAGTTTTTTCCTTCCAAGTTTTTATGGTTGAAGTTAGTTACTTCCAAAAGCTTGTTTATATCCACACTTTTATGTTATGCAATTTATATTGGTGGAAAAAAGACATGACACGTGGACCATTAACAAAATGACAGATGGCATTCCTAATTAGTTAAGTTAAAGAATTCAAGAAGACACGGGAGAAACACCCCCGAGATTTCTCTGGGAAAAGAATCGGCTCTGACAACTGGGAAAGAAGAAATAGGAGCGGAATATATAAAGACCATTAAAGAAGGAAGATGCACGAATCTGGTATAAATAAGGAAGGAAAATCAACATTAATCGCGGTTTCGGGATATCCTCAGTCATGAATGCTTTCGTAACAATTGTATATGGTAACGAGTAATCAAGGCAATTAATGCCATTAACGAGCCCGAATTAAGTATGAAAACCGTTATAATTGTATACTCCTATATAAGGACTTAACTTTCATTTGTAATGACATATGATTATTATTGAAATATAGGCAATTATTCTTTACTTTATTCATAAGATTCAAACCGCAATTCTAGAAGTGATTATCGATCTATTTCGTGTTCTCTTTCCTTGTCAAATATTTTCATAATTTGTTTTACTCTTCAAATTATTGAGAAAGTGAAGTAAATCTTGGTTATCAGTAACCCGATTTCTTCTTGATATTGGCTTTGATCGAAAAATCTATTTTTGGGTTTAACAAATTAGTTTCGTTACTGGGAATCAGATAATCTATTCACTTTCCAAACTTCATTCTTAACGATCAAATATGTCAACCGCTAACGAGAACAACCAGCTGAATCAACAAGGTGGAACTCTACCACATCAAACACCCATGGGATCTCCTCGGCAGTCCCGTAAAAGTTCACCTGAAAGGTCTGCTTCACGCACTGATGGTCAACATGGAGGCAACCAAACCGTTGAGCAAGATGCTCTGAAGCAATTAATTGCAGAACACGTGAACGACGCACTACAGGCTTTTGTCAGAGGATTACCCAACGCAGCGCAAACTCCTCCACCAGTTAATACAACAACTTTAGAGAGTCCACGTTCGGGGCTTGATAACTTTGGAAGTTGAGAAATTCCCAATGAATCTCGCGATGGAGGGCCAGGTACACCAAATAATTCTAGTTTACAAAGTTTAGTGCTAACTTTGCAGAAATAGCTGAAGGAGCAAAACGAGCGTATAGAACAAATACCTGGCGTACCTCCCGTGATCAAAGGTGTGGATATTGACAAGTATTCGCAACAACCCTGGAAGCCAAATGCAGCATCTTTGCCAATTCCTAAAAAGTTTAAAATGCCTGATATTCCCAAATATGATTGTCACGACCCAAAATACCACCACAGGCGTCGTGATGGCACTTAGTCTCTAAAACTAAGTAAGTCGATTATAATTACAATTCAAGCTAATTCTTTTTAAAATAGAAACTAACAACGGAAATAGTTACAAACAACCTCTCAAGACTGGTAATACTGAGTGACAAACTCTAACTGAATATATGAAATAATCTCAAGGACCGAATACTCAATAATGTTTGATTAATGATTAACAGTACAATAAAATGGAAAGACTTCAAGGGACTGCGACGACCAAGCAACTCTACCTTGAATCCTTGCGATCACACTCTAACCTGTCCGAGTCCGATAGCTCCAATACCTGGCTCTGCACAAAAATATGCAGAAGTATAGTATGAGTACACCACAGTCAGTACCCAGTAAGTATCAAGACTAACCTCGGTGGAGTAGTGGCGAGGTACAGTCAAGACACTCACTAGTCAAATAACCTGTGTAATATAGCAGTATACAATAGTACTGGAAAACAACTAACAATGATAACAACAAAATCAACCAGTGATTTAACAACAAGGCAACAAGAACATCATAATTATTGCTCAGATGAATAAGGAACACAAGTACAATCAATTAATCAAGTCCTTCAAATATATATCCTTCACATATTATCTTAAGATAAATATCTTTCGAATATACTTCTTTTGAATAAATATCTTTCGAATATACTTCTTTTAAATAAATATATTTTCAAGTAAAAGTCACTATGTGACATCTCATTTCACAATCATAAAAATTACGGGTCTCAGCCCACTTTCATATTTTCCATGGCACCTCGTACCCATATTTCTATCACAACCACACAGACAACTCACGTGTCAATAATAAAATTATCATATTTTCCCCAGCATCTCATGCCCATATTTTTTTCATAACCGCACGGATAACTCACGTACCAAAATATCAATGTATATAAGATCCACATGATCAATTTATTTTCAATAAAGTAAGGTTAAAATCTTTAAATCAAGTAAGAAATCAATAAAGAAATAAGTTTATTTTAGAAATCATTTGAGTGAAGAAATAAGGAGCCCATGGCTCCACCATAATGTGCACACAAAATCTTAACAACATATTCGGGAGCGAACAACTCAACTAAATAATATTTCATAATTTAACACTTTACCTCAGTATGATTTACGACCTTTATAAGTCAATACCAATTTCAACAAATGAACTGGAAAGTAATTCATCAAGGAACAACACCTTCTTTAATCTAAAATTTTGGCAAATAGATTAATGCCTCATTTTAAAATTATTTAATAAATTATTTGTAATGAATAATCCATAATGAAATTAAAATATCAACTCAACAAAAATACGTGATTCACATAAACAAATCAAGGTGGCAATCACACCAAATCATCATATAAAAATAAATTCAACAAACAAGGATTTAGGCATGACAAATAGAGGATTTAATAAGTGTCAATAATTTCCAATTTAGTACATAAGGGCATCTAAGAATTTTAGCCGATATAATTTGCACATATAAACCAAGTACGTATTCGTCACCTTGCGTACATGATTTTTAATTACACAGTTTTCCATATAAGACTCAATGCCTAAGGGGTAATTTCCCCACTCAAGGTTAGACAAGATACTTACCTTTTTTAAGTTATGTTGATATTCCAAAATCGCCTTCTTGCTTGAATTGACCTCCGGACAGCTCAAATCTATCCAAATTAATTGTATAACTTCATTAAAATTTATCGAAAACAATTTCGGATAATAAAACACCAACTTAAAATTTTATTCTAAAATGACAGCGCGGGGCCCGCCCCTCGGAACCCGACAAATATTTTACGAAATCCGAACACCCATTCCGATACGAGTTCAACCATACCAAAATTATCAAATTCTAATAACGGATCGCCCTTCAAATCTTAAATTAAAGTTTAGAGAATTTCTACCATTTTCAACCCAATTCACTAATTTAGTGATAAAAACAACAATAGATTCATGTAAATTAACCAAAATCAAGTTAGGAATTCTTACCCTAATATTTTCCTTGAAAAACTCTCGAAAGGTCGCCTCACCCGAGCTTCCTTGGTCCAAAAATGGAAGAATGGGACGAATTTGAACTTTATTCTGCTGCCCAGGGGTTTGTTCTTCGCGTTCGCGACACTCCTCTCGCGTTCGCGATGAACAAATTCTTCAACACACATTTTCAAACTTTTCTCAGACAACTTCTAGTATAATAGTCATCACGTTTTGTACAAAACTCCAAATGATTAATGGTTTGACTTTCTGAAAACTAGACTCCAAGGACTATAACTTACATTTGTTACTCATCTCCCAATTCTTTATAGATTGCCAGATATAAGCTTCCAAAGTCAGTCATGTGCAACAAAGATTTTCTTACTCTTCCCAGACAGCCTATAATGTATCTATCATAACTTTTTGTACACAACTCCAAATAATAAATGGTTTACCTTTCTGAAAACTAGACACAAAGAGCTACAACTTTCATTTTTGGATAATCTCCAAATTCCTTATAGATTGTGAGATATGAGCCTCCGAATTTAGACGGCGGACAACAAAACTTTCTTCTTCGCGAACGCGAAGAACAAAGTCCCAACAACAAAATCCTTCTTCGCGAATGTGAGAGGCTCCTCGCAATCGTGAAGAACAACACTAGAACCAACAACCAGCGGCATCAAAACACCCAAACTTGATCCGGAACCACCCCGAACCAAATTCTAGGCCCCGTCCAATCGTACCAACCAGTCCCAATACATAACACGAACCTGCTCGAGGCCTCAAATCACATCAAGCAACATCAAAGCCACGAATCGCACCCCAATTCAATCTTTATTAACTTTAGAACTTCAAACTTCTGTATTCAACGCCGAAACCTATCAAATCAAATCCGATTGACCTCGAATTTTGCACACAAGTCATAATTGACATTACGGACCTACTCCCACTTCCGGAATTAGAATCCGACCCCGATATCAAAAAGTCCACTCCCGGTCAAACTTCCCAAAAACCTTCAAATTTCCAACTTTCGCCAAATGACCCCGAAATGACCTACAGACTTCCAAATCCACATCCGGACGCTCCCATAAGACCAGAATCACCATGCGGAGCTATTCCCAGGCTCGAAATCCCAAACGGACACCGATAACATCAAAATCCACTTCAACCCAAACTTAGGAAATTCTTAAATTTTAAAAATACCAACTTTCAGTAATAGGCGCCGAAATACTCCCGGGCCACCTGATACTCGAACAGAACATACGCCCAAGTTCGAAATCATCATACGGACCTACTGGAATTATCAGAATTCCATTCCGGAGTCGTTTGCTCAAAAGTCAAACTCCGGTCAACTTTTTTCATTTAAGCTTAAAAAATGAGAATTGTTCTTTTAATTAAATTCCGAATCTTCCGAAAATCAAACTCGACTACACCCGCGGGTCATAATACAAATTACGAAGCTGCTCGAGACCTTAAGTCACTGAACATGGCGTTAATTCATAAAATGACAAGTCGGGTCGTTACATTCTCCCCCTCTTAAACATACTTTCGTTCTCGAACGTGCCAAGAATTATTCCAATGACAA